ATAACGTCTATGCGTAAGTGATGTGACTCATTTCATGTTTTTTTGCGGTAAATATTTGCATATAGATCGATAAAGCCGATGAATACTGGTAATTATGATGCAATTCTGCGGATTCAGTTTAATTGGAAAAACGTATAAAATTCGCGGAGAACAATGCGTATAGGATGATCTCAATAGTCAACACGTCATATTCAGTGTGCATATAAAAATGGAATTGCTCATATGTGGTGCATACAGTTAATGTTAGTTAATTTTTAACATTGATACAATATTGAAAACATAGTACAGTCTATATTGTGTATCTAATAATTCCAACAAGGCAATCACCTACGTCGCAAATGAGGTTAGGTTCAGGCAGGTGTAGTCGTAGCTGATATGCAAGAAGTACCGGGCGGGGCTGTTAAGCATGGGTGAATGGGCAGGAGCGCAGGCTGTCAACGAGTTAATACCGACCAGCGGTGACCTTGAACACTGTGGTCAGTTAAAAAGTGGTGGGGGTAAATCGAGATTATAAATACCTATGAATCACGCAAATTATCTTGTCAGTTATCTACAGCGAACAGACGTGCTCAGTTCAGATTTAGTCGCTAGTTAACGTTTTAGTTTTTAAAAAATGGAAAAATTCTTCATCGTTAAGGATTCTACTAAGAAGATTAAAAAATTTAATCTATATGGGCGAGAAGTGGAATTTAAAATACGACCTATCCCTAAAGACGTCGAACCTGTGGGATGGATCAAAGACGCTCTGGAGGAAATAGTAGCCAAAGGAACTGAACATCTCCAGCCCAGTGATCAAGTTGGATTCACTTTCTGTTCCAAAGACTTTACCCGCGGTCAAGGATGGATAGCTTTTAAATCGTTTTCCGACGTTTCAAATGAGGACATATGGGAGAAGATATCTTCCATCTATCAGTCAAATTCTGTGGGGTTGAATACCGAGACTTTTTGCTTGGGATTACGTCCGTAAGGTTGCCTGCTGGTCGTGGTAGAGCTCAGAATTTCAATACTTTTGATGAGGAATGCGCCAAAAGAAGGATTATCACCGTTAAAAACACCGATAATTTGTGTCTCCCACGAGCCCTTGTCATCGCCATGGCCCATTTGAACAAAGACAAAGATTATAGCAGAATCCGCCTCGATCGAGGAAAAATACAAGGACAAAGAGCTGTACAACTTGTGGAAAAGGCTGATATTGTTATCCCTGAGGAGGGGTGTGGAATACCTGAACTTCAAAAGCTACAACGATATCTGCAAAACTACAAAATTGTTGTATACAAGTTTGGGTGCAAAGGTCGTGACGTCATTTTTGAAGGCGTGTCCACTGGTCCGACGCTTAACCTAATCTATCACGAGGGGCACTACAGCGTCATAACATCCCTCACTGCTGCCTTTTGCTGCAGCTTTTTTTGTGAGAACTGCCACATTCCGTATAATACTAAACAAATTCATAGATGTGATAAACAATGTTATGCTTGTAAAAGATCTCCGGCCTGCCTGAAAACGAAGCACATCAAATGCAAAGAATGTAATAGAAGCTTTTATGGACAAGAATGTTTTAACGCTCATTTACCATCGGTCTGTTCTAAAATTAAAAGATGTGTAGACTGTTTTAAAGTTCACAACGGTAATGATCACATCTGCGGACATATACTTTGTAAAACATGTTATAAAAATCAACCAATTGAACATATGTGCTATATACAGCCTGACAGAAGTATTCCAAATCAAATGATGTCTTATTAATATTTTACGATTTGGAAACCCGTCAGGAGAAGGAATTACCCAATGGATCTTTACTGCATGAGCCAAATCTATGTGTATTCAAACAATGTTGTGAATCATGTACCGATAATCCTATATGCAAGAAATGTGGCCTTCGATACAGATTCTTCGATGTCAAGACGTCATTTCTCCATTTATGCATCATATTCTGACACTTCGTAAAAAATTCAAGAAAGTCATTGTACTGGCGCATAATGGTGGAGGATTTGATCATCAGTTTCTACTCTTCGTTACATTTTAGAGAAGACTAGTCTGTACCCAATGTAATTATGAGAGGAACAAAATTAATATTGATGGAGGTAGGAAATGTTAAAAGTTTCTGGATTCTCTCAATTATTTTCCTATGGCCTCTAACTGCTCTACCCAAGGCGTTTGATTTGAAAGAGCTAAAGAAAGGATACTTTCCACATTTATTCAACACTTTGGCTCATCAGAATTATGTAGGGCCAATTCCAGCGCTCGACTTCTACGATCCCGACCCATTCGAAAGGAAGACGCTAGCGGAAAAAATTATTAAAATGGCATGGCGAAAGACAAGCGGAGGGATACGTTTTTGATTTTCAGAAGAAATCGTTGAATACTGTATCTCCGATGTGGAAATATTGACACAGGCGTGTCTCAAATTTCGAGACCTGATGAAAACCGAAACCACAGTCGATCCCTTCCAGGAAAGCACCACTATGTGCATCATGCTGTAACAAAGTCTTTAGACGCAATTTTTAAAACCTGAGACGATCGGGGTAATTCCAAAAGGGGGCTATAGATGGCGTGAAAATCAGTCAAAATTGCCATCCAATGGCTGTTGTGGAGGAACATCAAAGAGGAATCAAAATTCAACACGCCGCTAAGGGTATAGAAACCATTGTTAAGGGACCATAAAGTAGACGGTTTTGTAGCGACACAAATCAAGTGTTTGATTCCAAGGATGCTATTTTCACGGTTGCCCTCGATGTTTCAAATACAACAGAAGCAATCCTCTGCATAATGATCCGTTGAATACATTGGAAAGTCGATACGAACAATCAGTTAGCAAAGTAGAGAGACTCCGAAGCCTTGGACTAGAAGTAATTGAGATATGGGAATGTCAATTTCGAGGAATGCTAAACGATGAAATTAGAGCCTTCACAGAAGCACATCCATTGATAATCAATTTACCGATTAACCCCAGAGACGCTCTCTACGGGGGACGTACAGAAAATATCGTTGAATACTACAAGATCAAAACAAATGAATGCATAAAATATGTCGATATATGTTCCCTGTACCCCTTCATCTGTAAATATGGAAAATTTCCGGTGGGTCATCCAAAAAAATTTACGTAGGTGAAGAATGTGTTACAGCCTCTCTGTCGCAGATGTCAGGACTTATTAAATGCCAGATTCTACCGAACCAGAACTTATATCACCCCGTTTTACCGTCAAAAATGAACAACAAATTGATGTTTGTTAACTGTCAAAAATGTGGTGAAGATTTCGTTCGAGAAGAGTGTCAGCATTCTATTCAAGAAAGAAGCCTAAAAGGAACTTGGGTGATAGAAGAGGTGCTCAAAGCTATTGAAAAGGTTACCAGATTATAGAGACTTACGAAATATGGGAATACGATACAATTCAGCTCAGTAAAGACCAAGAGGGGTTATTTAGCGGAATGATGAACAAGTTTCTACAAATAAAACAACAAGCTTCAGGATGGCCCAAACATTGCTTAACGGATGAAGAAAAAAACCGTTATATTGATGCATTTTTGGATAGAGAAGACATAAAGCTGGAATTTTCAAAAATTATAGAGAACCCCTGTTTGAGATCGTTAGCTAAACTTATGCTGAATTCCTTTTGGGGTAAATTTGCTCAAAAAGAAAACCAAAACAAAACCTCAATAGTCAGAGACTGTGGTGAATTCTTTGATATGCTGACTAATCCTTCTATTCATGTAAATACAGTTCTCCCGGTAAACGAAGAAACCCTTCTCATAACTTGGGAATTTAGAGAAGAGGCCTATGACGTTTCTTCAACGGTTAACGTTGTATTGGCTTCATATGTCACGGCCCTAGCTAGACTAAAATTATATTCATTCTTGGAGAAAGTGGAAGAAAGGGCAGTTTACGTAGATACAGATTCATGTATTTATATCTCTCGTAAGGGATTAGACGACATATCTACAGGCGACTTCATAGGTGATATGACCGATGAGCTCAATGGGGGTTTCATATCAGAGTTTGTTTCTGGAGGACCTAAGAACTACGCCTACAAATATACTACTTTGTCTGGAGAGGAACAGATCGTATGTAAAGTAAAAGGCATATCACTCAACTACAAGGCATCCCAAGTAGTCAATTTTGAGAAAATAAAAGACATGGTGCTGAAGAAATCTGATCCTGTTTCTGTACTTTCTCGACAGCTACGACGTACAAGAGAGCATGCAGTAGTAACAGTCGAGTTTCCTAAGGTATACAAGATAACTTCAATGAAAAGGAAATTCTATGAAGATCATACCTCTGTACCATTTGGATTTAAGAAAATAAAGTATTGATTTATTAATGTATGTAAATATTTTTTAATAAACATGTAAAATAAAATGTATGCAAATGATTTTTTGTTTTTTATTTCCCGCCTAATTGAAAAATATTTTTGCACCCGAAATTGTTCAGCCTTTTTACTCCATATAAAAATATTTAAAAGTATGCATTGTTATTATTAAACGCCTGCAGTAATATACACCAAAAAAATTGAGAAGCAGTGTAACCATGTGGAACTTTGTATAATCACAAAAAAACATATCTTGGAAAATAAAAAATACAGCAGATTCATAAGCAGTGTAGAGAGGAAACTACGTAAAAGTAATCGATTATTACTAATAAAATAGAGTTTTGAATTCCTATTTTTACAATAATAATCATTTTACTATCTTACGTGTTGGGCACTGCACTGCACGGGTACCAACACTGTACTGCACGGGCACGAAAAATTGAGAAGCATGATAACCATGTAGAACTTCGTATCACTACGTAAATGGATATTACGAAAAGTAGAAATAAAAACTATATTTTCGATAATAGCTATACTATTTTTTATGAGCACCGAAAAAATTGAGAAGCACGATAACCTCATAGAACTTCGAAACAGCACCAGAGACAACCGAAGGCTACAGAAAAAAACACATACTGAAAAGGCATAACATCTATCAGCGCTGGTATCCGATAATACTGTTTCCTTTGACATTCGTTGGGATATGAAAACACATATTTGCTTCCCACCGTTATAACGGAAATAATAGTTACTGCAAAAGCAGTTTCACGATAAGACCATACATTAATCTACAAAGTTGATAATAAAACATATGTACTATTAAAATGCAGATATTTTTAAAATTATACAATTAAAAAATCAAAATAATATATTATAAATGGTAGGGGATACAGGGTAAACACCGAAATATACTTAATTTAGAATAGTTACTTATAATCTCCTCAGTTCTTTGGTCAGCCGTATCGACAATTTACCGATGGGTCCTCTATTTTTGTGCATGTAAAAGGTTAGACTATGGCGCTAGCAAAAAAAACAAAATGCAACAAAGTAGAGTCACTTAATATTCTTGTTGAAATTACGGATAGAATATGGTAGAAAGTAACAATCAGATATTGTAGAAGCCATGTAATTGTTTAATTGTTGAGGAAAAAGTATTTTTCATACTCTGACCATGTTTATGTCCGCTTGGTACGCGACCAGATCTTTTCCAAACCTTTGCCTGTAGGGTTCATGAGCCTACGACCAAATGTGTCGTCGAAGGGGCATTTTTGGCCAAATTCGGTCGAAACCGATGCTGCGTTCGTACCCTAGAGCCTACGAACAGTGACTCAAACTTAATTTTAATTGATATGCAAAGATCTGGCTAGAATGCTTGAGCTAGTGATTATATGCAATTTATCGGTGACGAGCTTTCCTCTAGCATATCTTGATTTATTCAAGCGAATCAATGAGAAACTAGTGAATAAAAAAATTACCTGACAGCCATAGTACAAGTTGGTATATCTACACCTTCTCTTACATTTGGCGCCACTAAAATGTTAATCTCCTTGTTTCTAAAAACGATCAAGTACTTATCTGTTCTTCTTATTAATCGGAAGTGATTCTACGGTGCTATTAAAAGAGTTTCCGTTATATCCCACAACGAAATCCGGCTTTATATGTCTGAACTCTGGTACATGTTCACTCAAATCTTTCAGTACATGGTGCAATATTTTTGGCAGTTGATCTTTCCTTCGTGAATATTAAACCACAAATGTCTTCGTTTGAAGATGAACTGTTGAAAAGTGTTACGTTTATATTAGTATTAATATTTATGACATTTACTTTTTTAAAATAGTTAAATACTACGATAAACTGGGAATGTGGGATGAAGCAGAAATGTTTCTGTAACCCAATTTAGGTATGTATAGCAAGTCTTACGCAAGACAATAATAAAAACAGATAGAATTCGAGGGCGATTCTTGGAAGAAAAATTCAAAGTATTTCTAAGGCAACACCGACCGGAGTGCTATAATTTTAGCATACATTTACAGGTTATAGGTCTAATGATAAATAGAAAGTGATTAAAATTTTAACTTCAATTTTCGTAAAATAGCTGAGATATGCCATCTTGCAGTAGCCTGAAATGAAATACCCGACAGGTTACCCATCACCTGATAGTCTGTGGTTCTCGCCGCTAGATGACGCTACATACAAACGTCATCTGTCAAACGTTATGTGTATCATTGATAAGTGTGAGTTGTGTCTCTAAGCGCTAGATGGTGTCGATGTCGCACTGGTGTCGTAGAGTGACCCACATACAGGGGTCGATAGAAATTTTTGGGGCCCTACCGACGGGTCGATGAACCGACGGTATAACGTCAGATCGAAATAAGCTCCATTCACATGGGAGGTGTGTGTGGAATTGCTCGTGGGAGACACGGACCTTGTCGTATATAGCAAGACGTGTCCTAAAATGGTGATACCCATTGGTCGCTCAGCCATACAGGTCGGTCAGACAGAAGTTTTTGGGACCGGGGTGCTCTGATTGGTGGATCAGACGGCGGGAAATTTGAACGGTGTTGATGGTATAGCTGAATGGTGGACGGCGGGGTCGGGTGCGTTGGTAATCACCTATGTCGCAAATGAGGTTAGATAGATAGTCGTTCAGTGAAGGTGTTGTCGTAGCGGTGATATGCAAGAAGTACTGCTCGCGGGGGTGTCAACGAGTTAATATTGGCCAACGATAACAGCGGTGACCCTGGAACACTGTTGTCACACGGTTGCAAAAGATGACAGGTTATCTCTTAATTTTCGTAAACAACGATTTTTCTAAAGTGGTAAAAACAGGTCGAAATTTTAAATACCTATGAATCACCGCAAATTATCTTGTCAGTTATCTGCTGCGAACAAAACATGCTCAGCTCAGACTTATCTAAAAAGTGGTGGGAAAATCGATATTATAAAAATATTTATGAATCACCGCAAATTCTCTTAGACGTGCTCTTATCAGTTCAGACTTAGTTAAAACTAGTGGGTAAAATCGAGATTATAAATACCTATGAATCACCGCAAATTACCTTGTCAGTTATCTGCAGTGAACAGACGTGCTCAGTTCAGACTTAGCAATTCCCAACGCTCCTCCGTGGCCATTCCCCTTACCCTCTCGCGAGTGCGCGCATGCGCATGCGGCTCGTTCTGGTCTATAGACATATGATCGCTAATGATCTTGAACAAAGATGTCCTGATACACGAACCGCCAGAGGTACATCAGAAGTAATGTTAGTATTGTGTGTGCGTGTTTTTTGAACACGCTAAGTCGTGATGTACATCACGTGACGTACGTCACGTGACCTACGTGACGTGCGTGTGACAGGTGACGTACGTGTGACAGGTGACGTGCGTCACGTGACACTTGACGCACGTGGCGTACGTCACGTGACACGTGACGTGCACACTTTGTTCAAAAATACCAAAAAGCTGTCTTGATAGCCCGAACCGCCAGAGGTACAACATCAGAAGTAATGTTAGTGCGTGGTTGAGGTTCAAAAACTTAGCGTGTTCAAAAAAAAAACGTACCTAGACCAAAAGTCATTCTAGACCAGTCACTCTAGACCAAAGCACAAAAAAAACGCCGTTTTTCAACGCCTTTTTTGTCACCATTCCCCTTAGTAGCGCGCATGCACATGGGGCTCGTTCTGCTGGTGCTGGTGCTGGCGCGGGCGTAGATAGCGTTTGTGGTAAGGGTTGGGGGTAGGTCTTGTTCTCTTACCACTATCCTATGGTACACAACAAACAAACTTACTCGTGCGCGATAAGAGAACAAGACCTACCCCCAACCCTTACCACAAACGCTATCTACGCCCGCGCCAGCACCAGCACCAGCAGAACGAGCCCCATGTGCATGCGCGCTACTAAGGGGAATGGTGACAAAAAAGGCGTTGAAAAACGGCGTTTTTTTTTGTGCTTTGGTCTAGAGTGACTGGTCTAGAATGACTTTTGGTCTAGGTACGTTTTTTTTTGAACACGCTAAGTTTTTGAACCTCAACCACGCACTAACATTACTTCTGATGTTGTACCTCTGGCGGTTCGGGCTATCAAGACAGCTTTTTGGTATTTTTGAACAAAGTGTGCACGTCACGTGTCACGTGACGTACGCCACGTGCGTCAAGTGTCACGTGACGCACGTCACGTGCCACGTGCGTCACGTGTCACGTGATGCACGTCACCTGTCACACGTACGTCACCTGTCACACGCACGTCACGTAGGTCACGTGACGTACGTCACGTGATGTACATCACGACTTAGCGTGTTCAAAAAACACGCACACACAATACTAACATTACTTCTGATGTACCTCTGGCGGTTCGTGTATCAGGACATCTTTGTTCAAGATCATTAGCGATCATATGTCTATAGACCAGAACGAGCCGCATGCGCATGCGCGCACTCGCGAGAGGGTAAGGGGAATGGCCACGGAGGAGCGTTGGGAATTGCTAAGTCTGAACTGAGCACGTCTGTTCACTGCAGATAACTGACAAGGTAATTTGCGGTGATTCATAGGTATTTATAATCTCGATTTTACCCACCAGTTTTAACTAAGTCTGAACTGATAAGAGCACGTCTAAGAGAATTTGCGGTGATTCATAAATATTTTTATAATATCGATTTTCCCACCACTTTTTAGATAAGTCTGAGCTGAGCATGTTTTGTTCGCAGCAGATAACTGACAAGATAATTTGCGGTGATTCATAGGTATTTAAAATTTCGACCTGTTTTCACCACTTTAGAAAAATCGTTGTTTACGAAAATTAAGAGATAACCTGTCATCTTTTGCAACCGTGTGACAACAGTGTTCCAGGGTCACCGCTGTTATCGTTGGCCAATATTAACTCGTTGACACCCCCGCGAGCAGTACTTCTTGCATATCACCGCTACGACAACACCTTCACTGAACGACTATCTATCTAACCTCATTTGCGACATAGGTGATTACCAACGCACCCGACCCCGCCGTCCACCATTCAGCTATACCATCAACACCGTTCAAATTTCCCGCCGTCTGATCCACCAATCAGAGCACCCCGGTCCCAAAAACTTCTGTCTGACCGACCTGTATGGCTGAGCGACCAATGGGTATCACCATTTTAGGACACGTCTTGCTATATACGACAAGGTCCGTGTCTCCCACGAGCAATTCCACACACACCTCCCATGTGAATGGAGCTTATTTCGATCTGACGTTATACCGTCGGTTCATCAACCCGTCGGTAGGGCCCCAAAAATTTCTATCGACCCCTGTATGTGGGTCACTCTACGACACCAGTGCGACATCGACACCATCTAGCGCTTAGAGACACAACTCACACTTATCAATGATACACATAACGTTTGACAGATGACGTTTGTATGTAGCGTCATCTAGCGGCGAGAACCACAGACTATCAGGTGATGGGTAACCTGTCGGGTATTTCATTTCAGGCTACTGCAAGATGGCATATCTCAGCTATTTTACGAAAATTGAAGTTAAAATTTTAATCACTTTCTATTTATCATTAGACCTATAACCTGTAAATGTATGCTAAAATTATAGCACTCCGGTCGGTGTTGCCTTAGAAATACTATGAATTTTTCTTCCAAGAATCGCCCTCGAATTCTATCTGTTTTTATTATTGTCTTGCGTAAGACATACATACATACATACCTAAATTGGGTTACAGAAACATTTCTGCTTCATCCCACATTCCCAGTTTATCGTAGTATTTAACTATTTTAAAAAAGTAAATGTCATAAATATTAATACTAATATAAACGTAACACTTTTCAACAGTTCATCTTCAAACGAAGACATTTGTGGTTTAATATTCACGAAGGAAAGATCAACTGCCAAAAATATTGCACCATGTACTGAAAGATTTGAGTGAACATGTACCAGAGTTCAGACATATAAAGCCGGATTTCGTTGTGGGATATAACGGAAACTCTTTTAATAGCACCGTAGAATCACTTCCGATTAATAAGAAGAACAGATAAGTACTTGATCGTTTTTAGAAACAAGGAGATTAACATTTTAGTGGCGCCAAATGTAAGAGAAGGTGTAGATATACCAACTTGTACTATGGCTGTCAGGTAATTTTATTCACTAGTTTCTCATTGATTCGCTTGAATAAATCAAGATATGCTAGAGGAAAGCTCGTCACCGATAAATTGCATATAATCACTAGCTCAAGCATTCTAGCCAGATCTTTGCATATCAATTAAAATTAAGTTTGAGTCACTGTTCGTAGGCTCTAGGGTACGAACGCAGCATCGGTTTCGACCGAATTTGGCCAAAAATGCACCTTCGACGACACATTTGGTCGTAGGCTCATGAACCCTACAGGCAAAGGTTTGGAAAAGATCTGGTCGCGTACCAAGCGGACATAAACATGGTCAGCGTATGAAAAATACTTTTTCCTCAACAATTAAACAATTACATGGCTTCTACAATATCTGATTGTTACTTTCTACCATATTCTATCCGTAATTTCAACAAGAATATTAAGTGACTCTACTTTGTTGCATTTTGTTTTTTTTGCTAGCGCCATAGTCTAACCTTTTACATGCACAAAAATAGAGGACCCATCGGTAAATTGTCGATACGGCTGACCAAAGAACTGAGGAGATTATAAGTAACTATTCTAAATTAAGTATATTTCGGTGTTTACCCTGTATCCCCTACCATTTATAATATATTATTTTGATTTTTTAATTGTATAATTTTAAAAATATCTGCATTTTAATAGTACATATGTTTTATTATCAACTTTGTAGATTAATGTATGGTCTTATCGTGAAACTGCTTTTGCAGTAACTATTATTTCCGTTATAACGGTGGGAAGCAAATATGTGTTTTCATATCCCAACGAATGTCAAAGGAAACAGTATTATCGGATACCAGCGCTGATAGATGTTATGCCTTTTCAGTATGTGTTTTTTTCTGTAGCCTTCGGTTGTCTCTGGTGCTGTTTCGAAGTTCTATGAGGTTATCGTGCTTCTCAATTTTTTCGGTGCTCATAAAAAATAGTATAGCTATTATCGAAAATATAGTTTTTATTTCTACTTTTCGTAATATCCATTTACGTAGTGATACGAAGTTCTACATGGTTATCATGCTTCTCAATTTTTCGTGCCCGTGCAGTACAGTGTTGGTACCCGTGCAGTGCAGTGCCCAACACGTAAGATAGTAAAATGATTATTATTGTAAAAATAGGAATTCAAAACTCTATTTTATTAGTAATAATCGATTACTTTTACGTAGTTTCCTCTCTACACTGCTTATGAATCTGCTGTATTTTTTATTTTCCAAGATATGTTTTTTTGTGATTATACAAAGTTCCACATGGTTACACTGCTTCTCAATTTTTTTGGTGTATATTACTGCAGGCGTTTAATAATAACAATGCATACTTTTAAATATTTTTATATGGAGTAAAAAGGCTGAACAATTTCGGGTGCAAAAATATTTTTCAATTAGGCGGGAAATAAAAAACAAAAAATCATTTGCATACATTTTATTTTACATGTTTATTAAAAAATATTTACATACATTAATAAATCAATACTTTATTTTCTTAAATCCAAATGGTACAGAGGTATGATCTTCATAGAATTTCCTTTTCATTGAAGTTATCTTGTATACCTTAGGAAACTCGACTGTTACTACTGCATGCTCTCTTGTACGTCGTAGCTGTCGAGAAAGTACAGAAACAGGATCAGATTTCTTCAGCACCATGTCTTTTATTTTCTCAAAATTGACTACTTGGGATGCCTTGTAGTTGAGTGATATGCCTTTTACTTTACATACGATCTGTTCCTCTCCAGACAAAGTAGTATATTTGTAGGCGTAGTTCTTAGGTCCTCCAGAAACAAACTCTGATATGAAACCCCCATTGAGCTCATCGGTCATATCACCTATGAAGTCGCCTGTAGATATGTCGTCTAATCCCTTACGAGAGATATAAATACATGAATCTGTATCTACGTAAACTGCCCTTTCTTCCACTTTCTCCAAGAATGAATATAATTTTAGTCTAGCTAGGGCCGTGACATATGAAGCCAATACAACGTTAACCGTTGAAGAAACGTCATAGGCCTCTTCTCTAAATTCCCAAGTTATGAGAAGGGTTTCTTCGTTTACCGGGAGAACTGTATTTACATGAATAGAAGGATTAGTCAGCATATCAAAGAATTCACCACAGTCTCTGACTATTGAGGTTTTGTTTTGGTTTTCTTTTTGAGCAAATTTACCCCAAAAGGAATTCAGCATAAGTTTAGCTAACGATCTCAAACAGGGGTTCTCTATAATTTTTGAAAATTCCAGCTTTATGTCTTCTCTATCCAAAAATGCATCAATATAACGGTTTTTTTCTTCATCCGTTAAGCAATGTTTGGGCCATCCTGAAGCTTGTTGTTTTATTTGTAGAAACTTGTTCATCATTCCGCTAAATAACCCCTCTTGGTCTTTACTGAGCTGAATTGTATCGTATTCCCATATTTCGTAAGTCTCTATAATCTGGTAACCTTTTTCAATAGCTTTGAGCACCTCTTCTATCACCCAAGTTCCTTTTAGGCTTCTTTCTTGAATAGAATGCTGACACTCTTCTCGAACGAAATCTTCACCACATTTTTGACAGTTAACAAACATCAATTTGTTGTTCATTTTTGACGGTAAAACGGGGTGATATAAGTTCTGGTTCGGTAGAATCTGGCATTTAATAAGTCCTGACATCTGCGACAGAGAGGCTGTAACACATTCTTCACCTACGTAAATTTTTTTTGGATGACCCACCGGAAATTTTCCATATTTACAGATGAAGGGGTACAGGGAACATATATCGACATATTTTATGCATTCATTTGTTTTGATCTTGTAGTATTCAACGATATTTTCTGTACGTCCCCCGTAGAGAGCGTCTCTGGGGTTAATCGGTAAATTGATTATCAATGGATGTGCTTCTGTGAAGGCTCTAATTTCATCGTTTAGCATTCCTCGAAATTGACATTCCCATATCTCAATTACTTCTAGTCCAAGGCTTCGGAGTCTCTCTACTTTGCTAACTGATTGTTCGTATCGACTTTCCAATGTATTCAACGGATCATTATGCAGAGGATTGCTTCTGTTGTATTTGAAACATCGAGGGCAACCGTGAAAATAGCATCCTTGGAATTCAAACACTTGATTTGTGTCGCTACAAAAACCGTCTACTTTATGTCCCTTAACAATGGTTTCTATACCCTTAGCGGCGTGTTGAATTTTGATTCTTCTTTGATGTTCCTCCCACAACAGCCATTGGATGGCAATTTTTGACTGATTTTCACGCCATCTATAGCCCCCTTTTGGAATTACCCCGATCGTCTCAGGTTTTAAAAAATTGCGTCTAAAGACTTTGTTACAGCATGATGCAATAGTGGTGCTTTCCTGGAAGGGATCGACTGTGGTTTCGGTTTTCATCAGGTCTCGAAATTTGAGACACGCCTGTGTCAATATTTCCACATCGGAGATACAGTATTCAACGATTTCTTTCTGAAAATCAAAAACGTATCCCTCCGCTTGTCTTTCGCCATGCCATTTTAATAATTTTTCCCGAGCGTCTTCCTTTAAATGGTCGGGATCGTAGAAGTCGAGCGCTGGAATTGGCCCTACATAATTCTGATGAGCCAAAGTGTTGAATAAATGTGGAAAGTATCCTTTCTTTAGCTCTTTCAAATCAAACGCCTTGGGTAGAGCAGTTAGAGGCATAGGAAAATAATTGAGAGAATCCAGAAATTTTACATTTCCTACCTCCATCAATATTAATTTTGTTCCTCTCATAATTACATTCGGGTACAGACTAGTCTTCTCTAAAATGTAACGAAGTAGAAACTGATGATCAAATCCTCCACCATTATGCGCCAGTACAATGACTTTCTTGAATTTTTTACGAAGTGTCAGAATATGATGCATAAATGGAGAAATGACGTCTTGACATCGAAGAATCTGTAATCGAAGGCCACATTTCTTGCATATAGGATTATCGGTACATGATTCACAACATTGTTTGAATACACATAGATTTGGCTCATGCAGTAAAGATCCATTGGGTAATTCCTTCTCCTGACGGGTTTCCAAATCGTAAAATATTAATAAGACATCATTTGATTTAGGAATACTTCTGTCAGGCTGTATATAGCACATATGTTCAATTGGTTGATTTTTATAACATGTTTTACAAAGTATATATCCGCAGATGTGATCATTACCGTTGTGAACTTTAAAACAGTCTACACATCTTTTAATTTTAGAACAGACCGATGGTAAATGAGCGTTAAAACATTCTTGTCCATAAAAGCTTCTATTACATTCTTTGCATTTGATGTGCTTCGTTTTCAGGCAGGCCGGAGATCTTTTACAAGCATAACATTGTTTATCACATCTATGAATTTGTTTAGTATTATACGGAATGTGGCAGTTCTCACAAAAAAAACTGCAGCAAAAGGCAGCAGTGAGGGATGTTATGACGCTGTAGTGCCCCTCGTGATATATTAGGTTAAACGTCGGACCAGCGGACACGCCTTCAAAAATGACGTCACGACCTTTGCACCCAAACTTGTATACAACAATTTTGTAGTTTTGCAGATATCGTTGTAGCTTTTGAAGTTCAGGTATTCCACACCCCTCCTCAGGGATAACAATATCAGCCTTTTCCACAAGTTGTACAGCTCTTTGTCCTTGTATTTTTCCTCGATCACGGCGGATTCTGCTATAATCTTTGTCTTTGTTCAAATGGGCCATGGCGATGACAAGGGCTCGTGGGAGACACAAATTATCGGTGTTTTTAACGGTGATAATGCCTTTTCTTTTGGCGCATTCCTCATCAAAGGTATTGAAATTCTGAGCTCTACCACGACCAGCAGGCAACCTTACGGACGTAATACCCAAGCAAAAAGTCTCGGTATTCAACCCCACAGAATTTGACTGATAGATGGAAGATATCTTCTCCCATATGTCCTCAGTTGAAACGTCGGAAAACAATTTAAAAGCTATCCATCCTTGACCGCGGGTAAAGTCTTTGGAACAGAAAGTGAATCCAACTTGATCACTGGGCTGGAGATGTTCAGTTCCTTTGGCTACTATTTCCTCCAGAGCGTCTTTGATCCATCCCACAGGTTCGACGTCTTTAGGGATAGGTCGTATTTTAAATTCCACTTCTCGCCCATATAGATTAAATTTTTTAATCTTCTTAGTAGAATCCTTAACGATGAAGAATTTTTACATTTTTTAAAAACTAAAACGTTAACTAGCGAATAAATCTGAACTGAGCACGTCTGTTCGCTGCAGATAACTGACAAGATAATTTGCGGTGATTCATAGGTATTTATAATCTCGATTTTACCCCCACCACTTTTTAACTGACCACAGTGTTTCAAGGTCACCGCTGTTATCGTTGGTCAGTATTAACTCGTTGACAGCCTGCGCTTCCTGCCCATTCACCCATGCTTAACAGCTCCGCCCGGTACTTCTTGCATATCACCGCTACGACAACACCTGCCCTGAACCTAACCTCATTTGCGACGTAGGTGATTGCCTTGTTGAATTTATTAGATACACAATATAGACTGTACTATGTTTTCAATATTGTATCAATGTTAAAAATTAACTAACATTAACTGTATGCACCACATGTATGAGCAATTCCATTTTTATATGCACACTGAATATGACGTGTTGATTATTGAGATCATCCTATACGCATTGTTTCCCGCGAATTTTATACGTTTTTCCATTTAAACTGAATCCGCAGAATTGCATCTATAAATATCATTATTCATGGGCTTTTATCGATCTATATGCAAATATTTACCGCAAAACATGAAATGAGTCACATCGCTTACGCATAGACGTTATACTACACCTTACTATCGTCGGCTGTCTGAATCACTTCCGGTTGGGTGCGCCATCTAACGGGGCCCGCCAATCAACATATACCATCAACCCGTTCAAACTTCCCGCCGTCTGATCCACCAATCAGAGCACGCGGTGGATCTAGCGGTTCCCGCCAATCAACATATACCATCAACCCCGTTCAAATTTCCCGCCGTTTGATCCGCCAATCAGAGCACGCGGTGGATGTGGTGGGCGTGGCCAAAAAGTGGAAGTGGTGGGGGGCGCCCAGAGTGCACCAGTATCGACTTTCCAATGTATTCAACGGATCATTATGCAGAGGATTGCTTCTGTTGTATTTGAAACATCGAGGGCAACCGTGAAAATAGCATCCTTGGAATTCAAACACTTGATTTGTGTCGCTACAAAAACCGTCTACTTTATGTCCCTTAACAATGGTTTCTATACCCTTAGCGGCGTGTTGAATTTTGATTCTTCTTTGATGTTCCTCCCACAACAGCCATTGGATGGCAATTTTTGACTGATTTTCACGCCATCTATAGCCCCCTTTTGGAATTACCCCGATCGTCTCAGGTTTTAAAAAATTGCGTCTAAAGACTTTGTTACAGCATGATGCAATAGTGGTGCTTTCCTGGAAGGGATCGACTGTGGTTTCGGTTTTCATCAGGTCTCGAAATTTGAGACACGCCTGTGTCAATATTTCCACATCGGAGATACAGTATTCAACGATTTCTTTCTGAAAATCAAAAACGTATCCCTCCGCTTGTCTTTCGCCATGCCATTTTAATAATTTTTCCCGAGCGTCTTCCTTTAAATGGTCGGGATCGTAGAAGTCGAGCGCTGGAATTGGCCCTACATAATTCTGATGAGCCAAAGTGTTGAATAAATGTGGAAAGTATCCTTTCTTTAGCTCTTTCAAATCAAACGCCTTGGGTAGAGCAGTTAGAGGCATAGGAAAATAATTGAGAGAATCCAGAAATTTTACATTTCCTACCTCCATCAATATTAATTTTGTTCCTCTCATAATTACATTCGGGTACAGACTAGTCTTCTCTAAAATGTAACGAAGTAGAAACTGATGATCAAATCCTCCACCATTATGCGCCAGTACAATGACTTTCTTGAATTTTTTACGAAGTGTCAGAATATGATGCATAAATGGAGAAATGACGTCTTGACATCGAAGAATCTGTAATCGAAGGCCACATTTCTTGCATATAGGATTATCGGTACATGATTCACAACATTGTTTGAATACACATAGATTTGGCTCATGCAGTAAAGATCCATTGGGTAATTCCTTCTCCTGACGGGTTTCCAAATCGTAAAATATTAATAAGACATCATTTGATTTAGGAATACTTCTGTCAGGCTGTATATAGCACATATGTTCAATTGGTTGATTTTTATAACATGTTTTACAAAGTATATATCCGCAGATGTGATCATTACCGTTGTGAACTTTAAAACAGTCTACACATCTTTTAATTTTAGAACAGACCGATGGTAAATGAGCGTTAAAACATTCTTGTCCATAAAAGCTTCTATTACATTCTTTGCATTTGATGTGCTTCGTTTTCAGGCAGGCCGGAGATCTTTTACAAGCATAACATTGTTTATCACATCTATGAATTTGTTTAGTATTATACGGAATGTGGCAGTTCTCACAAAAAAAACTGCAGCAAAAGGCAGCAGTGAGGGATGTTATGACGCTGTAGTGCCCCTCGTGATATATTAGGTTAAACGTCGGACCAGCGGACACGCCTTCAAAAATGACGTCACGACCTTTGCACCCAAACTTGTATACAACAATTTTGTAGTTTTGCAGATATCGTTGTAGCTTTTGAAGTTCAGGTATTCCACACCCCTCCTCAGGGATAACAATATCAGCCTTTTCCACAAGTTGTACAGCTCTTTGTCCTTGTATTTTTCCTCGATCACGGCGGATTCTGCTATAATCTTTGTCTTTGTTCAAATGGGCCATGGCGATGACAAGGGCTCGTGGGAGACACAAATTATCGGTGTTTTTAACGGTGATAATGCCTTTTCTTTTGGCGCATTCCTCATCAAAGGTATTGAAATTCTGAGCTCTACCACGACCAGCAGGCAACCTTACGGACGTAATACCCAAGCAAAAAGTCTCGGTATTCAACCCCACAGAATTTGACTGATAGATGGAAGATATCTTCTCCCATATGTCCTCAGTTGAAACGTCGGAAAACAATTTAAAAGCTATCCATCCTTGACCGCGGGTAAAGTCTTTGGAACAGAAAGTGAATCCAACTTGATCACTGGGCTGGAGATGTTCAGTTCCTTTGGCTACTATTTCCTCCAGAGCGTCTTTGATCCATCCCACAGGTTCGACGTCTTTAGGGATAGGTCGTATTTTAAATTCCACTTCTCGCCCATATAGATTAAATTTTTTAATCTTCTTAGTAGAATCCTTAACGATGAAGAATTTTTACATTTTTTAAAAACTAAAACGTTAACTAGCGAATAAATCTGAACTGAGCACGTCTGTTCGCTGCAGATAACTGACAAGATAATTTGCGGTGATTCATAGGTATTTATAATCTCGATTTTACCCCCACCACTTTTTAACTGACCACAGTGTTTCAAGGTCACCGCTGTTATCGTTGGTCAGTATTAACTCGTTGACAGCCTGCGCTTCCTGCCCATTCACCCATGCTTAACAGCTCCGCCCGGTACTTCTTGCATATCACCGCTACGACAACACCTGCCCTGAACCTAACCTCATTTGCGACGTAGGTGATTGCCTTGTTGAATTTATTAGATACACAATATAGACTGTACTATGTTTTCAATATTGTATCAATGTTAAAAATTAACTAACATTAACTGTATGCACCACATGTATGAGCAATTCCATTTTTATATGCACACTGAATATGACGTGTTGATTATTGAGATCATCCTATACGCATTGTTTCCCGCGAATTTTATACGTTTTTCCATTTAAACTGAATCCGCAGAATTGCATCTATAAATATCATTATTCATGGGCTTTTATCGATCTATATGCAAATATTTACCGCAAAACATGAAATGAGTCACATCGCTTACGCATAGACGTTATACTACACCTTACTATCGTCGGCTGTCTGAATCACTTCCGGTTGGGTGCGCCATCTAACGGGGCCCGCCAATCAACATATACCATCAACCCGTTCAAACTTCCCGCCGTCTGATCCACCAATCAGAGCACGCGGTGGATCTAGCGGTTCCCGCCAATCAACATATACCATCAACCCCGTTCAAATTTCCCGCCGTTTGATCCGCCAATCAGAGCACGCGGTGGATGTGGTGGGCGTGGCCAAAAAGTGGAAGTGGTGGGGGGCGCCCAGAGTGCACCAGTATCTACTTTTGTGATCCCGAGTATCGTACAATTGGTTCGCCTTGCCCCCCTGGCTCATCTTGTAATAGTACATGCTCTCTGAGGTTGGAGTGAGTCCAATAAGTAATATCAAGAGATCAACATCCGAGCCGACAACTATAACTCGTGATTTCCCGTGACGAAACCATTCGTTATGAGTCTTCAGAGCTGTTCTCACAATCTCAACATCCGCATCCTCTTTCGCATGGATCACGGTAAAACTGAATCCCTCATATGTTGCAAGAGTTTGACCAAGGTGATAAACAAATTGAGCCTTTTCTTTTCACGTTGGACAAAAATGTCCTTTGGTTCAATGGGACGAGATTGTCTGGTTCAATTTCAACGTCCACGCCACAATTTCTTTCTTGTCTACGGTCTCGCTCGTATGATTTGACACCTATATGTTCATCTTCATATCCGTCGAAAACAATAATGACGCTCCGACCAAACCGCTGAACAAGAAAGTTCTTGTACATATCAAAGATTGCACGGTATGTCTTACTATGAGGCCAGACGAGGCTGTGAAGCAACCATCTTCCGTCTACAACAAACTGAGAATCTTCAAAAAATGCTCGTGAGGATAGGGTAGTAGTGAACATTTTATATAACTGTGACTTGTCGGTCTTTCGCATTGATCCTTTCTGGTCGAACAAACTAAGTGGAACAGGAGACATTTCGTAGTCGAAGCAAGATTTACTCAACTCTTTCCTTCCACGCATAGCCACAGACAGACGTTGAAATAATAGAGAGGTATCAACAGTGACAGTGGAAGACATAGCTTTTTGAGATTGTGTCCGTGCAAAGTCCAAATTCTTGATCTTGTACAATTTTGACAGCGACACCTTTTCATAAGTGCGGCCAACTATATGACCCATTGCTTGTGTGCCACGCTCGAAAGCCATATGACAATTTATTTCCACACCACCGACAACTCCAGTTGACAGCGAAATTAATTCCTCGCGGACTTTGAATGGTTCATGCCCCTTCAACCAAGTAACGAATGAGGCAATCTCCTTTGCGTCCCATGCTTTTCGTCCTTGCGTTCCCATGCTCACTGTTTCTCGTCTCCAGGTTACAATACTCTTCCAATGCTTGCATCACATGCACGGCGCAAGGCATCCCCAGCAAATATCGAGTCACGACACTCCGCGTAACACCTCTTCCGTGTTTCAAGTCAGTCCCAAAAAACCTATTCAATGTCTGGTCGATTGTCATGTCACTCCAGATTCCGGACCAAGCCTTATCCGACCTGTGGATAGTGAAATAACCCTGCGTGGCAAACTGGTGAAACTCTTGAGGATCCATCCATCCATCCCGCGGCATGAAACAATGGCAACATTCTTCGAACGCAATCAAGATGAAGGTCCCAGTTTCCAAGACGTTCTGCTTCAATAAAACGCAAGACAATAAGCACGGCTTCAATGTACTGCACCCACAACTTGGCTGTTGGGCCGTTATTTTTCAATTGCTTCAACTTTGTATAAAACAAATCAGACATTTTCTTCAGGTCCTTATCAGAGCCACTGTCCCCTAACTTTAGAGGATTTTTCTGCCAAACACGCATCAATGATGCGATAACCCCTTTGGTCTCGCTTTTTTCTTCGATTGAATCACAAATTACGATGCCTAAAGCTGTAAACGTCAAAATGTGTGCTCGGAATAATTGTGCCCGTCCATCATTTCCTTTATGGATTCACTAGCGTAAGCAGGCTCCCACATAGATTCAAGTCCGCTTCCCCAAATGATAATACCTATTGCTCCCAAAAAAGACATTAACATGTGGAATCCGCCTAAGCGAACAAAAACGTCGGGCAACATTAACTTCGCTATAATATCGCGACATTTCATGTACAACGGCAAGTCGTAAGTTAAGATAGTGGTTTTTTGACCACATTTACGGGTTTCGCTCTTTGCATGCATAATTGATGTATAAATGGTTGTTAGACTAGATGGAACTTCGTTAATGAATTGTTGGCATTGCACCCCCGACCTTTGGAAACTTTCATTTTCCGAACATATCTCCATGAAACCTCGCCATCCTGGTACATTCTCAGGATCAACGTATTTAGCCCACAAATAAGTTGAGTAAGTAGGGGGGAATAGAGGCATGTCGACCATGGTCAGTAAATTTGTATGGATGAATTCTATAAGTTTCAAGCCCTCTTTTGGCGGCTCGACGTAAGGGAAGATTGGAATTTGTTCTTGCTTTGCAAGGATATTTGCGGAAGGCATCTCAGTAAGTTTTTTGACACTTCCACATTGTGTGATTTCGTGCTCCGGAGTGTAAACCTGTATTCCGCCTAAACAATGGTCTCCCGTCCGTCCAGGGTCCTGACGTTGTGGTCAGTATTATCAAATACAAATTGTACGAAAGGTTTTTCGATGATCAATCTGGGTGGATTCACTATTGTGGAAGCCTCATACAATTCAATATTGTAGTAAGAAGTGCAAACGCCTAATGCATGCAGAAGATTTATGATGTACTTGGAACCTGTTTTTCTCAGAATCAATGTCCCAATCGACAAGTGGAGGGTGGACAAAAACGTGCGTGGCTGAATGAATGAAAGTATGCATTGAGATATCATGTCTCGCTTCACAGACTTTGCTTTTTTATCTTCCTCTTCGTCAGCGATAAGGAGAAAGTGCTCAATAAAGAACGAAAAGTGGGGTGGATAATCGGAGGAAAGATCGCTTACAAATTGCTTGCTACGAATCTCTCTGTGCATTATATTTGAAGCCTGAAGCAAAATAACTTGTATCTGCCCTTCTGTGAAAGTTGATGGGTCTGCTGACACATTATAAACATGATGACTTTTGAAGCATACACGTATATCTTTTCCCCCATTATACTTCCCCACCGTAACGTTTTTTAATGTGATCTGCTACAGTCCTTCTATCTATAGAGTCATCATCCACAAGTTCTACTAACTTCGACAAATAATGAATAACATTTTTGTCTTCTTCAAGAACTTGCCACACAGGTTCTAACAATGAATCGATTCTAGACCAGTTTAGATCATCGATATTTTTTTTTAAACCATACGCATTGAAATGAGACATGCATGTCCGGTGGTATCTGCCTTGTACGCGAATTAAGCAAGAAATGTTCTCTAATCTTTCAACAGCGCTAATTCCCAAAGAGTCATTTCTTTCCTTACCCATTGCAATCAAGTTATCACGCGTCTCTTTTTGTGTGACTGTACAGATTTTTGTTTTCGCATCTTTTATTATACTCAAACCACAAATGAAGCAATTATCCGCGTAATAGAAATCAGGAACCTCATCCCTTGCAGCTACGACATTGTTATTTGGTGCATTCAACGCAAAATGCTGAGTATACGTTCCACTGACCAAGTATGAAAGTCTACACTTCTCATGGCAGTCCAGTTTTTCCTTTTTTTCCCAATCCAACCATTTTTTGTCTTCCACGCGTTTGCTCTGTGTGATCAGTGTACTAATTCCCTTCTTCCCCACGATCCTTCAATTGCCGCGCGCCAACGGATACCTGCAAATGACGCAGTTACTATTTTGCTGCATTTTATTCCTATTGAATAACAGAAACAATTTCAGTGAGAATCGGTATCCAGTAAGTGTAATGCAATTTTCGATCCAGTCAGTCTAATTTGTCTGATTTTTGTTATTAATATCAGAACATAGTGCTAATGGAATTCCAAGACATGCTGAATTTTGGACAACATATACTGAATTTATTATTTTTATTATTTATTATTAAAAAATACTATACTAACATTGGAAAATGAAAACAAATTTCGTTAAAAAATTAATGGCGGATAACTTTTCGAATTTTAGGTTGGCTTTGTCCTTAATTCCTTGTCTCCAATGAAATTACGGAAAAAAATATTTAATTTCAATTCTAAAATGTACACATACTTACCTCACTTATCCAGTCAATCGACAAGCAATTGAAGAGAAATTACTCCACATACTTAACGCATAAACTTCGAAAATTAGTTCTTTCGTAAAAGTCGGTGAACGCCAAACTGACAAGCGAGCTCAGGGTTCGAAATTCAACTCTACTGTTACTGAATAACCCCTACCATATAGTAAGTGATCGTCTGCGTCGTCAACGCGTAGGCGGTGTGGCGGCAGCTTGGTGGTATGCAGGTACGCCGCCTCTGTCCCCGCAAACCCCCTCTCCCACAAGCCATCAGCAAGCTGTAGCGCGAAAACTAAGCAATTTAGCGAAAAATTTGTAGAGACCTTTATTGATGGCCCAAAAATTAGAAAAATTTACGTGTAAAAAAATCCCAGATATCCTCAGCCGTTTCAGCGAAAAAGAGGTTTTTCGGGTTTTTCGCTGATTTACAAAAAACGGCTGGTTTCCGGAAAACCAAATTCATACAACAATATTCGCAATCCTTTATTACACCATTACGCCAGCGGAAATAACTTTGTCGCTATGTTATCACTTTTGTCTCAGTTTCGGCTATTTAACTGGGCTATATCGGGTATTTTTATTAAATTTGGTCCTTTACAATTTATTCTCACTACTTTTTCTATCAAGTGACCACCTTTATTGGCCAAAACAAAATGTGCCCGTTTTGCTGCGTTTTCATTTCTTTTGCGAGTATATCTGGTAGTATAGCGGCGATTGCGGTACGAATGTTTGCCTTGAGTTCTTCAGTGGTCTCGGGCTTGCTTTTTTTTATACTCCAACTACCACGAAGCCCTAAGGCCTAAGCACCCGTTGGGTACCGTGGGGCTGGTTTACAAATAAGCCCACAAGAAATAGTCCGGTGGGGTCAAATCTGGAGACCTGGGTGGCCAGTCAATGTCACCTCTTTTTGACATCAGACGTCTAGGGAATTTTCCTTGCAGAAAGTGGATTGTTCATGTGCAGTGTAGCATGGCGCACCGACTTGTTGTTCTGATACTCAACCTATCTCTAACCAACCGGTCATGAACAACAAAGTCAAATAGATTTTTTTCTCTCGAGTAGGCGGGCTTTGAAGTGGTTATTACTTTGTGAATAAATACTGGATAGCGATATTCGACCAATTTATCAAATTTGAGCCATTTCAGCGTCCTGTATTATGACACTATTATTCTGTATAATTTGAATTCTATTTTTCGTTATTTTGTCAAAGCATGGGAAATAAAGGATGTTACAGTAGTTTAGACAAGACATCACTCGCGTTTCGTACAGTTTGAGCTTATAGTTCAGAAAGTACCTACAAGGGTACAAAGTGCGTAGGCGGAGGTACGTTTTTTGAGCAAGACAGCGGACGTGATTATGAAACCTTAACTTCTCATCGACATCGATACCTAAAATCTTGGCAGTAGTAGCAACCTGAAGAAGATTTCTGTCAATAAAGATATTAAGGTTAGCTTTGTCGTAGTTTTTTTATTATTAAAACAGAAAACTATGATTTTTGACTTCTCAGGGCTTACTAATAAATTGTGATTGGCTGAATATTCACAAACCATGTTAATATCATGTTGTAGCTCTATATAAGCTGTTGGTAATTCACTAGCTTTAAAATAATGTACTAGTTGGGTATCATCTGCGAAAGATTGCATTTCAGAATTTTCCATTAATGCATATAGGCACTCCAGATGATCTGACGCTTGGGACAGAGCTCTATCTAGATCATCGAGATATTATACAGGGTGGGGCAAAAGTCACGAAGGGATTTGAAAAATTAATAACTTTTTTAAATTTATTTTGTTTTCATTTTTTTTTCAGGACCGTGTAAAATAAATCCTGGAGATTAATTATGGAGCGTTACAACCTCAATCAACGAACCAAACTTATAGAATTTTATTTTGAATATCACCATTCAATAATTCAAACTCAACGAGCATATCGACGTCATTTCAATTTGCGGAATTCGCCCCCTGAATAAATGATTCGACGCTTAGTGGCACGATTTCAGCAACAAGGCACAGTTATGGATCTCCCACGAAGCGGAAGGCCACGTTCCGCAAGAAATGAAGGGAACATTCAACGCGTTCAGGAGAGTGTTCAGGAGAATCCGGAAACCTCAACCCGAAGACGTTCTGCTGAGCTGCAGATGTCTCAAAGGTCTTTACGCAGAATATTAAGAGGAAATTTACATCTGTTTCCATATAAAGTGCAGCTAGTGCAAGAACTAAAACCAGCAGATTTTCAAGAACGACTAACTTATGCAGTTCGCTTGCAAAGAATGGCTCGAGAAGATAATGAATTTATTCATTCTCTGATCATGAGCGATGAAGCCCATTTTCATTTGAATGGCTTCGTAAATAAGCAGAACTGCAGAATATGGGGTACCGAGAACCCAAGGGTGGTTCATCAAAGGCAATTACATCCGCTTAAATGTACAGTATGGTGCGCAGTTACGTCTCAACGAATTATTGGACCTTTCTTCTTCGAAGACCACGATGGGAATGCTGTATCTGTAGATGGCGACCGATATCGTGATATGATTCAAAATTTCTTAAGACCAGCTCTTGCTGACAGTCAAACGATGACTTTCCAACAAGATGGAGCCACTGCGCATACTGCTCGAGCCACTATGCACCTTCTAAGGCAGATTTTTGGCGAACGTTTAATTTCGAGAAATTCAGGATTCAATTGGCCCGCCCGCTCGCCGGACTTAACAGCCCCTGATTATTTCCTTTGGGGATATCTGAAAGGAAAAGTGTATATTAATAAACCCACAACCCTGCAGCAACTAAAAGATAATATTCGAGCAGAAGTAAGTGCTTTGGGGCCAGATATTCTGACTCGGGTAATGGAAAATGCTCTTGCAAGAGCTGCACTTTGCGAGGCTGAAAATGGCGGTCATTTGCGTGATGTAATCTTTCACACTTAAATTGTAAACAAACTCCAAACATTGCATTTTAGTTTTGTGTTAGGGAAAAAAATTAAAATTAAAATTTAAAAAAGTTATTAATTTTTCAAATCCCTTCGCGACTTTTGCCCCACCCTGTACAAAAGGAGACGCTAGTGTCATATAAATCATGCTATCGATAAAGGAACCGGGGGGGTGGAGCTTAGTCTCTTAACAATATGGCGGATTTGCCAGGATGGTATCTGTTTTTAGTGTATGTATTTGATTTGATTGCATTTATGCTATATGTAAATGATATCATTTGCTACACTTATGTATTTAGAAAAAATCTATTTAATATACAGTGTGTCCACTTACTTCAACATTTGTGTTTTTTGGCCGATTTTCATACTTTTTTTGTTGGATGGTCAAAAATGTCAGTTTGCGGATATTCAGAAAATGTAAGACACGACCCAATACTGTATTCAAGTTTTAAGAGCGAAGAATCGAGAATTACTATAAGCGATATTTGAAAAAAATTACACCGGTTTATTATTCAGGACCACCTAAAATATATGTTCACCAAATTTGGTTGTGATTGAAAACTGTTAATTTTAGTCAAATTTTTAGTGGTGTAATAGATTTCCTGATTTACTACGAGTTTTTTTAAATATTTTTTCTTATTTATTTATTTATTTATTTATTTATTTCCAACAGGTGAAACCCAATTACAGGAAACGCTGAAAAAAATAACAATTAAAGAGACATGGTTCTTGGACTTAAATCTATAGTATCACACATTCTAAATAAGATTGGATGATCTATAACAGTTAATAATCGATGCACAACTGTCACTATAAATATCACACGATTCAGTAACACTGTTCATGATGCAGCACATGAGATTAATTGGCGATTTTGTCATGACATTTGTACGGCCAGCTTGACAATAGAATGTCATTTGTTGTCGACTCCCTAGCCTTGGAACGCGGAAACATATTTTTTCAAGTAAATTTTGACAGTCAATTTTATTGTGAATGAGGCCATAAAAAAACGACAAAGCAAATATGTTTCGTCTTGTTGACAGTGAATTCAAATTGAAAGACTCTAATAGGGCACTATGATCACAACCTCTTTCTGGACAAGAACCTGTGCATTTAAGGTGAAAATACTTTAAAGCTTTACGTTGAATGGCCTCAAGGATCACGACAGAATTTTGGTATATAGGAGACCAGATCAGAGTCGCATACTCCAACTTGCTCCTGACAAAAGTAAAAAATAAAGTCATTAATGTATCAACATTGGAGAAACCCTTCCAGTTTCTGATACAGAAACCAAGTAGTCGAGTGGCAGCCGACGAGATATTGAGTATATGCTCAGTAAACGTTAGCTTGGTATCAAAAATGACTCCAAGGTCTCTATAAGAGGTGCATCTGTCTATAACCTGACCATGGATGTTATAATTATCATAAATTAAATAGTTCACTTTTCTTGTATAAGTCATAACTTTACATTTCGAAACATTCAGACTGAGACTGTTTCGTGAACACCATGACGAAATTAGAGCTAAGTCATCTCGCAACATGACGCAATCCTCGACTGTCTTGACTGACGTGCAGATTTTAAGGTCATCAGCGAAAAACAAATGGAAACACTTCAGTT